GCACCTCAGGTGTGCTTTGCAGAACTAATGCAGGAAAAGGTTGAAGATGCAGAGAGACGGCGTGAGTGTGTGTGATGGTCCTTTCATTCAGGAGCATGAAAGAAATGGATGAGTATCAAGAGAGAACATCCAGCTGCAGGTCCTTTTCCCTTCTTTTTTTTTTTTTTTTTCCAGCTTTTGGGTGAACCGCAAAGCCGAGGGGGACTGTTAACTGCCTGGGCCTGTCCATTTGTCTCCCTCTCTCTCTACTTCTCCGTCCTAAACCCCCCTCCCTCTCCCCTCCCTTAGCTCAGGAGGGTGGAGGTGCGATTCGCTATGCCAGTTTTTTATTTCCAGCACGCTTGACAGGCTGGGCGAGGAAGGCGTTAATGTTTTCTGACAGGCCCCCTCTAATTGTTGGAGCTTTTCTTCTCTGCCTTTTCTGTGAAATTCTGACTTAGGCGAGCAGCATAACAAAATGCTCTGGCATTGAAATGTGCGTTTGCACTACACTGGGCTCGGGGAAACAGCATTATTCATGAAGATTTTCAGCTGTTTTTGTCTTTTAACTAACCTTTGAGTTTGATCAGAGGCTAGCCGGGTTCCCTTTCTCAAAAGGCGGTCTTGGCAACCCGACAATGGAGCCAAACTGTTTTCCCTGTTAAAGAGATAACTATGCCGTTGAGTTGGTACATGGGGGAAATTAATCTTCAGGCGCATACAAATGATAGCTTTACCTCGGTCTGCAATCGCCTGCATGGGATTATTAATAGGACTGGAGTAAGGAGCAGGAAAAATTCAGTCTGGGGCAGGGAATTTAAAAAAAAAAAAAAAAAAGAAAAATCCCAACCCCAAACCCATCATCCCTTTTGATTCTTTTGATTGCATAAAGCCTGCGATTGATTCCTCACCACTTGCCTTTTGCAGCAGGAATTAGCCCTGCATTGTGCGCGCTGACACGCTAAAAGCGAGCTGGCTTGGGAGCAAGAAGTTGCTGTGCCCCAGGACGGACCGGGGTGGAGTCCGGAGGGGTGTGGAGGGGGGGTTTCTCCCCGCTCTCCTCTCCAGGAGGGGAGACCCAGGGTCCCCCCTACACTTCGAGACGAGCTAATCCCTGAATACACTGAGTAACAGGCGCTGCATTACGGGGCTGCCCTGATCCCCCGGCCGTGGCCGCGCCGCCTCGCCTTGGGCAGGTGCCCGCTCTTCTCGCGTGCTGCCCGCCCCGGTGCGGAGGGAAGCGCGGGCGCGGAGAGGGGCGGAGCGGTGCTCACGCAGCCCCCCCCTCACCCCCACCGGCCCCCGCCGCGCCGCCGCCACCGGGATAAAGGCTGAGGCGTGACACGCGCGGACGCAGCGCTGCCCGCTGCCTGCCCGCCCCCCCTGCCGCAACCCCCAGGTGCCCCCGGGAGCCCGCACACAGAAGGCAGGACCTGCGCCGCGGGGGGACAGCGGGGGAAAGGGCAGAACAGACACACGCAAAAAGGAATGAAATCCTAATAAAAATCAAAATAAAGGAAAAAGAGAGGAAAAAAAGTTTTTAAGCAGGGGAAAAAAACGGTGTTGCGGGGCTGGGCGCCTCTCCCCAGGGATGATCTCCGGGGTACCCCCGCCGCTCTCACCTGAGCGCGGAGGGTTGTGGGGAGCGGCGGCTTCGCGGAGCCAGCGCTGGTCCCACTCGCTGGCGAAGTTTGGTCATCGGAGGGTCCCGTGGGGAGGGTCAGCGGCTGGAGCGGGAATGGGGGCGAGGGTAGAAACTCACGCCGAGGGGACGGTCCCGTCCCCCGACTGGGGTTTGGGTTAGGGTGGGCAGCGCTGCTCACCTCCGCGGCCAAACGCCGCCGTGGTGGGGGTCTAGCAGTGCTTTCCCATCGCTGCCAGAGGGTCTTGATTTGGGAGCTGGAGGGGGAGACACGGACACTGGGGAAGAGGCGCTTATTAACGGGACGCTTTTCCAGCGTTACGATAAATACATAATAGGTAAACAAATTAATAAATCCGTGGCCCAGTAACCTCCATCTGCACCCCCTCCCGCTTGTCCCGCCTCCCTCCCACCCCCCACCCCCCTATCCCTGAGTAGCTCTAAAACTTATCCTGCGCCCAAAGAAGTCCCTGATTTATGGAGTTTACTAATGCTGACTGAATACTGTCTGTCAGGGCGCGCTGAAAGGCTCTCCGCGCTCATACAAGAAAAGGCTTTGTGTTGCTAAGCGATTAGAGCAGATGTAATGAGATTTACCCCAATCCTGCTTTGCCCTTTCCCTATCTTCAGGAAAATTGTGCGAGTGTGTGTCTGTGTGTGTGTGTTTTCTTTCTTCCTTTCTTTCGGGAGGGGGCTGAAGGGAAGAGGGAGGGAGGAGGTGGTGAATTTCTGAGCCTGCCTTATACATTGTAGCGAACAACAGCGTAACTTTGCCTTTAGTTTAATGAGTCTGGATATTTACTATTCAGTAGTGAGCAAAAAAGAACACCTGTCTACACAAGGAAATTTCGCCTTTGTAACAGAATGAAACATTATCCTAATGTTATATTCATAGCTATAAATTACTGGCTGCACTTTTCTTTTGCATACCTTATCTGCGCACTTGCAAAAGTGGGTAAATAAAAAAGGGAGATGCTGTAAAAGGGAGAGCGGACGGAGGCACATAACGGTTATTATTTTCATAACTAAACATTAGTTCCACTAGCGGTTAAAACAATGAGTGTTTGTGCTGCTGAAGTAATGAGGGATTTCGTGACCCCAGCGTGTCCCATCCCCTGTGCGCCTCCCGGTCGTCGTCGTCCCCTACACCCCCCCCCCCCCCCCCCCCCACCCCGCATTAAATCACATATTGATCATTTGATCATTTCAGGGCGCGGGGGGAGGAGGCGAAGGGGCAAAAGTGTGTCTATTTTTAAAGCAACTCAGAAAGGACCTGTGCATTGATATGCACACGTATGTATGGCCACGGCTGCTTATGCGTGTGTGCACACATATAGCTGCACGTACGTACACACCGGGAAGATCCCGGGGTGCTCCAAAGTTTTTCCCTCCTGTTTTTCTTTTTTAGAAATAGCGCATCCCTCGCAACCCGACGGCCCATTTGGAGCTGAGCGGGCTGGGTTTTTTTTAACTCCGTGCAACACACTGGTTCTCCCCGCTCTTTGTTGGGGTTTTTTCTCTCTCTCTCTTTTTTAAGATGCATTTTGCGCTTTGCTTTCCGCTTGGCTTAGTGCACGCAAACTGAATTTGCAAGTGATGCAGGGGCCAGGCGAAAAGGAGAAGGAGAATTCTGGTCACGTCCTTGCTAACTGACAACAAGCAGGCTAGCCAAAAAAAAAAAAAAAAACGGGCGGGGGGGGGGGGGGGGGGAGAGAGGAGGAGAGTCCAATTTCTTTTTTGAGTCTTGGTAATTGGGTACTTTTACAGGCAGATCACGCTATTTGAGTAGAATAACAAGCTTAGAAAGACCAGTGTCTCTAAGCTGCCACCCAGTTCTACTACTTTATTTATTTATTTCATTTCATTCCACTTCGCTTCTCGCTTCCCATCATTCCCCCCCTCCCCCCATCCCCCGACGGATTTATTTACCCGGCCACTCTCTTTGCCGAGGCACCGCGGTGGCCCTTGTGCCTTCCTCCCTCCCGTGTACCTTCCTTCCCCCCCGTGTTTTTCTGCCCTGTGGGTTCCGAGCCGCGGAGGACGGGGGCACGCTGCCGAATTGCGGGATGGAGCGCCCTCTTTTTTTTTGGGACCTGGTTTTTTTTTTTGGGGGGTGGAATTCTTTAATGTGCAGTGATTTCAGGAGGGACAATACAATCATTAATCACCTCGCCTTTTGCTTTGGGTACAGCATTTGCAACACAGAAGGGCAAGAAAACAATGGTGATACCGCTGGATCTTTGCATATTTATATAAAGATATATATATATATATATATATATATATATATATATGTTACATCCATCAGATACAAGCACTTCATACGCAACTTAGCTCTGGCACAACATCACTGAACATTTTGTCCTTACATTCATCGTTGTCAATGGCAGAAAGAAATAAGTAAAAATTGCATGCAGCAGGCAGCCGATCATTTTCATTAAAAAAAGTTTTATTACGAAACTAGTTTGTATAAAACAGGGTTATACAGGACCTTTGTCAGTTTGTAATAAAACAGTAAGAAAAGGCAGTGGCAATAGGGGTCGTTTGTGTATTTTTTTTTTTTCCCAAAAGGCAGCATATACAAACAAATGGCTACCATTTTGCGTTTGGACAATAGCTGCATAAACTTTGTTCACTTTGAACATTGTTTAATAACATTATTAATACATTAACAAAGTTTCTATAAAGTAAGACACGTTGGTGCTAAAGTACATCTGGAGGAAATCCAAGTCCTTTACAAAACCACATACAAAAAATGCCAGTTGTAAGGTAACGTCAACTACAAGTCTAAACATGAAGAGGTAATAAGCATTACATATTAAAAAAAGTATCAAGATATACACATTTTAAACCATTTGTACAAAACCTCTATAAATCTCTCTCTCTCTTATGTACAAAAATAGCTTAATATATCCCCAAACGGGTTAGGATAGATACAAATAGATTTTCTTATAATAAAAAAATTCACAAAAAAGAAAAAAAGATTGGAAGCATTCTATGATGGAAACGAGAGGGAAAGGTCGGAGAGAGGGGAAGGAGAGGTGCGGAGAACGGGGAGGGGGGGGTGGGGTCGGGGGCGCACAGGGCTTCTTTGAGTACAGCATAGCTTAATTTCAACACCTCCACAAACATTGGGGAACTAACTTTGTCCACAGAGTGATGAGCGCCGGTCTCTGCAGGGCCGCGGCCGGCCGCGGAGGGGGAGTTCCCTCCCTTTGCGGGAGTGGCAGAGCTCCTTCGCCGGCCGAGGAGAGCAGCGACCGTCCCCGCCACCCGGCTCCCCCGCGGGACCCCCTCTCCACCGGGGCGCAGCCCATGGCTAAAGCCCGGCCGGTGCCCGGGGACCGGGGCAGAGCAGCCACACCGACCCGGTTGTGCCCGCCCGCCGAGCGAGAGACGTGCCCGCACCGCCCTCCGACGGTGGGGAAGAGGAAAATGCAACAGGTTCTTTCTCTGGGTGGATTTGTGTCTTTCTCTGTGTAATATATATCGGGTTTTTTTCCCTTTTGCAACTGTCCTGTAACAACAAAAAAGAGAGGAGGTCAGAGCCGCGCCGGGACCAGCGCAGCGCCGGGCTGCCGAAGCCGCTTGTAAGTACCGGGCATCCCCCCACCCTGCCCGGCAGGTGCATCCCCCGTATCTCCCCGCGTCCTCCCCGTTCCCCTGGCCTCCCCCGTCCCTCCCGGGGCGCGGACCCACCTGCCGCGTTTCAGAACCAGCTGGTGAAGTCGAGCAGCTCCTGCTCCTCGGGGCTGAGCGGGTCGTAGGAGCCCTCGTCGGAGGAGTAGGAGGAGACGGGGGAGCCCGCCATGGAGTTCATGTCGTGGGAGTAGCTGGGCGAGATGGTGGGTGAGAGGACGCCGGCCTGGAAGGCGGCGCTGACGGCGTCGTGCTCGTCGAGCAGCTGCTGCAGGGCGCGGATGTACTCGACGGCGGAGCGGAGCGTCTCCACTTTGCTCATCTTCTTGTTGGCGGCGCCGTTGGGGACGTGCTCCCGCAGCGTGGCGAAGCCCAGGTTCACTAGCTTCACGCGGTTGCGCTCCCGCTCGTTGCGCCGCGCCACGGCCGCCGGCTGCTGCTGCGGCAGGCTGTACCCGAACCCGCTGAAGTTGAGCCGCCGCTTGCAGCGCATCAACTCCGGCGAGGCCGAGCGCTGCCGCTTGGCGGCCCGCGGCGCCGACGGCTTCCCGCCCGGCGACGGCTGCCCGCCCGCCGGGCTCAGCTGCGGCGGCGGCGGTGGCGGTGCCCCCGGGGGCGGCCCCGGCGGGGCGGCGGAGGCGGCGGCGGCGGCGGCTACCGCCGCGGCGAAGAAGCAGGCCGGCTGCAGGAAGGGCGGCTGCCCGGCGCCGCTGGCCATCCTAGCGGGGCTGCCGCTGGCCATGGGCGCGGGGGCGACCGAGCGGCAGCCGATCCCCGTGCTCCCACGGCCGGGAAAAATTCAAAGGAGGAAAAGGAATTATTTATATTAAAAAAAATATAAATAAAATAACAGAACAGGCGGCGGGGGAAGGCGCAACGGCGGCCGGCGGGAGCGGGCGGCGGAGCCCGGCGGGGACGGCTCTGCCCGCCCCCCTCCCTTTCGCCCTCCGTGCGGCGGCCGCGGGGAGGCTCGTGTCGCTCGCGTGTGCGCAGCCTGCTTTGCAAAGCCCCTTTTGCAAAAAAGTGGCTGGGGATTGTGTCTCTTATAAGGGGCGGACGGGGCTCCCCCCCCATACACACACACACACACACACACACACGCAGGCACTCTCCCCCTGCCGCTCCCCCCGCGCTCACACACACACACACACACACACACACTGCACCTTGCGCCTTCCACGCTCCCCGGCTTTACCGGCCGCCTTTTCGTTGCGGGGCGGGGGGAGAGAAGGCGGACCACGACACGCACACACAACACACACACACACACACACACACACACACACACACGGAACACACACGGAACACCCCCCCCCTCCCCGCGGCCCCCGTCGCACACGCGCTGGCCGCCGCACGGCCCCGCCTCCCCCCGCCCCCTCCGCGCTGCTTTCTCCGCGGTGCCCGCTCCCCCGCCCCGCCGCCCCTCGCGGGTTTGTTGTCGCAAGTGCGTGCGCCCGGCGCGTGCCGCGCTCCCGGCCCTGAGCAAACACCCGCGCCGGGGAGCCGCGCGGGGAGGCGGCGGCGGCGGCGGGAGGCGGCGCGCGTGGGGCGCCGCGGGGGGGCTGCGGGGTGGCGGGGAGGGGTGTGCGGGAGAAAGGGGGAGCCCTGCCCCGGTGGGGGGGGGGGGGGGAGGAAAATGGGGGGGGTCGGGGGTGCAGAGCGTTTGGCTGCCGTGTCCTCGCGCTGCCCCTCGAGTCGGGGGTGCGCTGCTGCGGCTCGGGGTGCGGGTAACCTCATCGGCACGTGGTTTGGAGGGGAGAGCCGCGGTGCGGGAGATGCCCGCGGGAGGAGCGCCCCTGCCAGCGCCGGCACGGGGAACTTCTCCGCGCACGGGTTTTGGGCTCGTCCCTGGGAAGCACCCGGGTGCCCGGTGCCGCTTAGTTCGCTTAACGAGTGACCGCGTCCCGCCGCCCGGGGACTGCGCCCCTCACAGCGGCCGGGGCCGTGTGCTTGAGCCCCGATGGCTCTGCCGTCTGGGGAACAACGGCGGGCGAACAGGCGCGGGTGCCGGGAGGAGTGCTGGCCAGGGAAGGAGCGTGCGTAGCCTGCGGAGAGGTCTCCCTTAGTTAGCTCTTGAAATGCTGAGTGCCAAGGGACGCGCCTCGTTGGACAGAAAGAATCATAGAATTGTTTAGGTTGGAAAAGACCTTTAAGATCATGGAGTCCAACCGTTACCCCAGCGCTGACAAGACCACCACTACACCATGTCCCTAAGTGCCATATCTACACGTCTTTTACAGCACCTCTAGGGATGGTAACCACCACTTCCCTGGGCAGCCTGTGCCAATGCTTGACCACGTTTTAGGTGAAAATTTTATTTATTTATTTTTTTTTTCCAAAATAACCCCCTCTTGGGTGCTACCAAAGTGGACAGTACTCAGAAGGTCCAAATACCACAGAACTGCCACCGGCAGTGGGCTTGGGGAGGGAAGTTTGTCGCAGAGGGCAGCGTGAAGTCTGGGTATGCTAAGCAGAGCAAGCAGATGAGGAGTCAGCACTTCCCTCGCTACCAGAGCCCATTTCCCAGGCCACGCAGTCCCCTAACTGGTCCCAAGGAGCTCACAGAGCCCTCACTATACCTCACATGGCACCTTGCAAAGTGGAAGCAGGCCACCGCCTTTCTGAGCACGGAAGAGAAGTGCTGAGGTGCTCAGAGCTTCGGGCTGGTGTGATTTGGTGGTCAGACCAACCCTGCGGGAGGACATGGCCAGGACCAGCCTGCGGCCATGCTGGTGGTCCTGCTCTTGTCATGAGCAGCAGTGGGGACTCCAGCTTTCTCTCCCTGCCCTCCTGCCTTTCACATAGGCTCGTATCTCTGCAAGCCTTAACAACATTTTCTGCCTTCAACTCTGCCTCATCTCCACTTCTCTCTGCACCTCCTCACTCTGGAAACGCAGATGTGTGTGACCCCTAAGTCCCTAAAAAAATGCAGAGTTATGGTATGACAGTCTTGCCACAGGTGAGATTATGGCTTTAGGAAGTCCCTGGCAAGTGGCATTCATCCCTGGCATTCACACCAGCTCTAAAGCATGGAAGGAGTGGACCTGCGCAGTCCCTGTTCAGGTTTCAGTGGAAATTAGTGCAAAATTAAACCCTGTTTTGCTGCTGGCCTCGATTACAGCAGACAGGAGCTGTGGAGATCCCTTCTCATCTGCCACTGCTTCTCTCGCCTTGGCTGGGCACGTGAGTTAAAACTGTGATAAGCAGCGGTGTTGCATGGCAGAACCTTAATGTGCACCTGCTGAATAGTCTTGTAGTAGTTTTTAACATGGCAGCTTTTAATGCACATGTGCAATGAAAAAGTAAAGCAGTTCTGTATGGTCTAACCTCTGATGTATTTATTTCAGGGCCCTCTTCACTGGTCACTGAGTTTCTGTCTGATTTTTAGCCTACATTGCATGTGAAATGTGAAATGTGTGAAATGATTTTCATCTGTCTCGGGCAGAACAGCCAGTCCTAAGCGAGATAAAACATTAATTTTTATTTTCTGTATAGAGAGCTCTTGCTCTTCAATTCCAAGTCGTCTGGTTGGTTTGTTCAACACACCTTACCTGACAACAGCATTCTCTGCACTGGAAATAGCTGTTGCTCTGTTGCATCAGCTCTGCGTTGTGACATTGCTGGAGTGAGAAAATGACAATGAACCAGCCTGAAACCCCAAGGCCTTGGGAAGAGATAGATAGCAAAATAATTGCAGCCAGGTAAACTGTATACGTGTTTAGAAAGACATACATAGATGTATGGAGCAGCCCACTACCAGAACTGTCATGGAAACACCACATAAGAAAATTCCCCCCTTTTCTTCCTGAAATGGCAGAGTGAGGCTGGAGTTTCTGGGCTTCTGGAGTCTCAGAGGGTTCTTAAAAAGGCAAAAAATGGGAATCCCAGAGGTCTCTGAACGTAACTCGCATATCATTTTGTCTCTGTGGCTCTGTCCCTGCCATTGTCCAGGCCCGGGGTGGAGGCAAGGTGGAAGGACAGAGCCTTTTCCTCCCTTTTCTCAGCACCTCCCTGCCTTACCCCACCTGCGGTACTGCATTCAGCTCGTTGTCCCCCAACACCAGAAGGACATGGATCTGCTTGAGTGAGTCCAGAGAAGAAGGGTCATGAAGTTGCTCCGAGGGCTGGAGCACTTCTATGGAGAGAAGCTGAGAGAGTTGGGGTTGTTCAGCCTGGAGAAGACAAGGTTCAGGGGAGACCTTAGAGCAGCCTTCCAGTACCTAAAGGGGGCCTACGAGAAACCTGGAGAGGGATTTTTAACAAGGAAGGTCATGTAGTAACAGGACAAGGGGTGATGGCTTTAGACTGAAAGACAGTAGATTTAGGTTAGATACTAGGAAGAAGTTCTTTGAGGGTGGTGAGACACTGTCACAGGTTGCCCAGAGAAGCTGTGGCTGCCCCATCCCTGATAGTACTCAAGGTCAGGTTGGATGGGGCTTTGAGCAACCTGGTCTTGTGGAAGGTGTCCCTGCCCATGGCAGCGATTTGGAACTGGATGAGTTTCAAGGTCCCTTCCAACCCAAACCATTCTGTAATTCTACGTTTCTATGATCCACTGCCACTGGTGAGCAAACGTTCCCCTTGCCGTGGTTGAGGTGATGCCAATGCTGGCAGCTCCCCTGGCTGCTCTCTGTGGAGGGTAAGGGGGTTGGGGCTGCCAGGTTTATAGATAATAAATATTGTTTCAAGGTTCCCCGCTTCCACCCACTCCTATGCACAGTCCTGCACCTGCACTTTGAAATTCTTAATTCTAACATAATGATAAATAGCTTTTGCCCTTTTCATTGGGCTTTTTTTCTTTCTTCCCCTTTCCCCGCCCCCTTTTATTTTTAAGGAAATCTTGAACTGTCATTATTTTATAGTGGCTTTTTTTGTGCGCCTAAATTGTAACCACGCTTGTGAGGTCCTTTGAAGTCCTTGCTTTAAAAAAAAATATGTAAAAAAAAACTTTGGTATATTCCCCCCCCCCCCATCTTCTCCTCCCCCTCCCCCTGCCCCTTTTCTTTTTTAAAGACCATTTACGTTATGATTAAATGCCGTCTTGGAAAAGCAGAACGAAAGTCGTTAATCTATATAGATCTTCAAAGAATCGATACATTCGGGACTTCTGTAGGATTTGTTACACTCCATTTTGTTACAGTAGGCAGCTCGTCTGGATTTGGGCACATGTGTTTCTCTCCCTCCCCTCGCCCTCCCCCTCCCTTTTTCAGCTTCCCCCCCAAGAGTGAAAATAAAGTAAAAGGTCTTTCATGGTAAACAAAACCAGCTTATTCTCCACATAGAACACATGAATAGCTGGAAAAAAAACTTACAATAAATGGTGCATTTTTTTCTCTGCTGGGTATAGCATTCAAGATCAGTCCAGTATTCAAGAAGCAGTCCATTTTTTGCTCAGCAAGAGAGTTTAGAAAAGAAGCGTGGGGTCTATTCAAGGATCTTTTCCCCCTTCACAATTGCTGGGCTTTATGAAACCTATCTTCCATGCCTTGTCAGAGTATTTCTGGGGACCAATTAGTGCTTTGTTGCAAGGCTTCTTTGCTGAATCTTTGAGCAGCAAGAAAAAGCTCTCTTGAGTCTCCCCTTATTTTGACTATTTCAGTCATTACTCAGTGTAATAATTAATATGACAACTGGACGCTGAAGTTTGTATAGAAACACCTCGGCTGCAGGAGAGAGCGTGCAGTGGGTGGTAACAAGCTACAGATCAGACCGAGAAGCCACACACACAAGGAAGGGGGGAAAAATGGGGTAAAAGAAAAAAAGAGAGAGAGAATAATGAATGAAAAGAAGGAGGGAAAGAATAAAGATAAATAAATAGTTGGCGCAACCCGAAGAAACATAATACGGACTTGGAAGGAAAAAAAAAGAAAAGGCAATTAGGAGGTGGGGGGCAACCCCAGAGAAGTAAACTTATTTTGAAACGGTTTCTATGTGAATATAATTTTCAGAACTTTGCTACTTTCAGAAGGCAGGAAGAAAAGCTATTTCCCTCCTTTTCTTCGGGTAAGCAATTTTCAAGGGGCATCTGCCTGCACTTTTGCATACTTGACAAACTTTAGCATCTCTTGCTAAGCGGCCCTTCAGAGAAAGAAGGACTTTGAGCATGAAACCGTCTTGGTGAGTAATTGTTGTCCACCCTGCCCAGGGCGGAGGCAGTTTAGTTCTCGGGGCAGCAAGTTGTACGAATTTTCTTAGTGTTGTACCGTCTACAAGAGGAATAAAGCCTGTGCCCTAATGAAGAATTAAAAATGACGTTTGACCAGGGACACTGCTGAATTCCTCTCGAGAGGCGTCTTTGGGATGAACACTCATCGCTTTGCAGACATTTCTTGGGCTGCCAATTAGGGCATAATAAATAATTAGAGGTTTTAAGCATATTAGATACAGCTCATGCTAATGAGCTACAGCAGGTCTTGTGCTAACCTGAAGTGACAGTTTGCATATAGGGCTGCAAAAAACTAAAAAAAAAAAAAAAAGAAAAGAAAAAGAAGAAAGAAAAAAGGAAAAAAGAAAACAAGAAAAGCAGGAGCGGCGGCAGTTGCTCCCCCTCCGCCCCCAGTCCCATCTCCAGCCTCAGCCCCGGCCCGGCCCGCTAGCCCCTCCGCCGCTCCCGCCAGGTCCGGTGCCCCCGTCCCTTCGAGCTCCCGGAGCGGGGCCCTTCGACCGCCGGCCCCGCCGGGTGGCCCCATTGTGCGGCCACGCGTCCCGCGTCCATCACAGCCCCGGGGGATAAATCACACCGCGCTGCTCCCCCCATCGCCACGATTTGGAGACAGAAATTTTGTAGGCTGGGGGGGGGGTGTGTGTGTGTTTTTCCCGGCGCCTCCGAGGCTGCAGCCCTCTGGCAGGGCAGCGCAGGGCAGGGCAGGAGGGTGGGAGCGGGGTTTGGGTGATGCCTGGGAGGTGAACAGCCCCCGTTCCCCGAGGGCAGGCGGCGGGCACGGCACGGTGTCCGTCCACGCTCCCCAACTCGGCCCGCTCCCGCGTTCGGCGGCCGCTGCAGTGGGGACACAGTGCCACCTGCCGGACACGGGAGGAGGGGGGTGTGGGGGGTGAATCCTGCGGGGAGGTGGATGGATGAAGTGCAGCCAAAAAGCGTTTAGGAGCGGGCTGCGGGAGGTTTCAGGAGCTCGGCTTTGCAAGGAGAAGGGTCCTGCCTGGGCGGTGTGGCAGCCACGATGTGCACCGGAGTGTGGGGAAATGCAGCCTGTCTGGCACGTAAAGGAGAGCTTGAAGACCTCTGGTAAATGCATGCACAGTATTGCTAAGGCAGACTGCCCCTCACCATATACACACACGTAGCGTACACAGCGAGTATCCCTGTAGATACTCACTGAATCCTCATTTAGGATTTTTTTTTTGAGCTTCTGGTCTTACTAACAAAGCCCCCATCCATTGCTCACTGCTCCCTCAAAGGGACTGGGACATCTTGAGCAAGCTGGGAAGGCAGGGAGCTGCGAGACAAGGGTGGTCCCAGTGTCCTTACACGGGAAGGGACGCCCCTGCCCAAAACAGAGTGCAGCTGCGGGGAGCTGCTGCTCTGCAAATACTGGCTAAAGGCAGAGGCGGGATAGAGCAGTCTGAAAAGCAACCAAAGTCCGTGGCCCTTTGAACTTGCATCATGCTGGCCAGGGGAACCCGCCAAATTTCAGTGCAAAGAGCCCTCTTAATTGTGGCTTAGCAGCAGAGCCAGGGTTTCTGTGTGTGTGGTGGGTGCATGTGTGTGTGCTCCAAGAAAGTGTGTGTTTATGAGGGCAAAAGAGTTTTAGATAGAGACAATGTGGGACATTCGTGTGTATCTGCATATAGTTTAAAGAAGCAGGGTTGCACAGTGCTACATCAAAAGCCCAGAGCAGGACTACTAGAACCAAAGCTCAGGTGCTCAGTCAGGGGCCACGGAACCAGACACACGGGGAATTTGAAACCCAAGCGGGAAATCCCAGCTAGAAATGTCACTGAGGGGGATGAGCCCATGCTTGGTATGCTCAACGTACTTCAAAAAGCACAGGGAAGCTCGGGCAGTTTGGACTCTGAAATGGTCCAAGGTAACCAGTGCTGATGCAATTGTGTGTTCATACTGTAGTGGCACTGGGTATGCATACACACACACAACTTTGCAGTAGGAGTAAGAGATAAGCTTGCAACATAAATAATAAAAACGGGTAGGAGGATGCCAAACAGATAATTACGAGGATTTGGCATGAGCAGTATTTTGCTTACCCAGTGTTTCACTTTGCCTTGCCATTACCGTCAGGCTAGAGTGAACATACATAAGAAAACGGATGAAAGCAAGGAAAATAAGACTAAATGCAAGTCACAGAGAAAGAAAAGAGACAGATCAAAGATTAGTGAGAAGAGAAGGGAAAGAGAAGCAAAGAGGAAGGCACAAACAAATGACAGAGGAAGCAGTTTATGACTTTGGATGTCGCAGTTACTTTGGCCAGCCATAGGACATACATCTAGTGTTTTTTTAATCTAGTTGAAAAATATACCAGGTAGCAAGGCCTTGTGTGTGGGGAAGTAGACAAGAACAGTTGCTAGAGATTGTCATGTCCTGCACAGGGACCACCAACATCAGTGTTGTCACCATCCTCATCTCACTGTTTTTTTTTTTGCAAGGTGGCCTTCAATATCCCTATCCTGGGTAGGACTGTGCCTGGTGCTGCACAAGCATAGGGCACAAAATGCTGCCTACCATAGAGAATTCATTCGCTGAGCAGTTCAAAGCCAGTAGTGTTTACACTGCTAGCAATTATTTAGGTTAGCCTTGCTTTCCTCTATGCTCCACTTTGCCTTCCCCCTACCTGATGCCACAATGTCAGCAGGGCCCAGTATGCTCTGTGTGTATCTCTTTGGGCTGCCTGCCTCAACCTGCCAGCCCACGCCACAGGCTTGCTGATCACTCAGAAAGTTAACTTTCTACCCCTGTGTGCAGCCACAGGATGCATAAACAAGCAGCTCTTCCAAAAAAAAGGTAAGTGTGCCCAGAACACTGAGTTACTTCAGGTGTATGTTATACAGTCAGTAATTTCAGTGGGCTGGATTCTGACTCCACAGCCATGCGGTTCAACACGGGTTCAGACTGAGATTCCTCAAAGTGGCTCCACTCAGTTTCTCTACTGTAAGGCTGATCAGGTTTAGTAGCTATTGGGTTTTCTAAGTACCAGTAATTCATGGTGTTTGTTGGTACTCACCAATCTGAGTTTCCACTGGTGCATGCAGTAGGGGTTCCCTCAAAGCTAAAATAACTGTAAAAATATAGCAAGATTACCTGCACTGGCATAGTTTGTCTTGGTACAGACTTCACCATCCCGAATAGCAAGATAGATACTTGACAGTCAGTTGGTTTTGTTTGTTCTCTTTTTTTCCCACATGCCCTCCAGTATTGGTCCCCGACTTTGCATTATTCTCTCAACCCCTTTGGTGACTCTTTCTAAACCAAATCTGGGCTCCAATCCTTTACCAACCTTTTCTGAAGTCATTTATGCCCCTCTCCCAGTTCCCCTTGTAGCTCTCTATGGCTGACACTATATACAAGCATGCATACATCTACATTTTTTCTGCATCCTTCTGTCCTGTATCTCTACCTAGTTTTCCCTGCTCCTTTTCTTCCTTTACCTTTTTCCCTCTCTCCATGTCCATACTCATAACTCAGTGTGAAGTTCATGCAGCTAACTCCTGTCTCACACTTCCTTTATACTGGGTTTCTCTTTCCAGTATCTGATGTGTGGAGCAATGTCTCCTGCTTTCTGACCTCTTGGAGGCATCCTGAAAGGACAAATCCCTCAGCTGCTGCAGTGTGCCACAGCCCACCCTTGCTCATGTTTGTCATTCAAAGAGCAGATCCTGGGGAACATCTGATCTCTGCTCACGTGGAGTAAGCCATGATGGGAATCCACCTGAAGCTGAACACACATGCAGCAGTGGGAATGGACCGGGGAGGGCGGGGGGGAGAGGTTGAACCAAAGGCGATGTGTTGACATGAAAAACCGAAAACAGCATCTGATGTTGATCAGGAGGACGGCTGTTAATTCAAAGCATGCCGCTCGTCTGCATTGGGCACAGATAGAAACGACATGCTGGAGAGCTGCTATGCACTGGGGTGGAACTCACAGGGGCTGGCCGGTGAGCAAGCCTGGCAGCTTGCTGATGTGCCAGGGGTGGGTGGGTGGGGGGCGTGCAGGGAGAACGCCCCCTTGGCACCGTGTCCAGAGGAGGGAGCTGGGGAGAGGAGGGGGAAAGGGGTGGCTTTGCCTTGCTTGCTCCACTTTAAATACCTTTGCACAGAGCTCTGGCCACTATAGTAAGGTCAGAAGGCTTCACCTGCAGCGACAAAGGGGCCTCTCTGAGTGGGCACCACTGCCTCTGCCACATGGACACACAGCACTGCAAAATGAATGGTGACCCTTTCCAGGTAAGTGGTGGGGTCTGTGTGCCTGCTCTTTGTAGGGGGGGCCGTGGCTGCCTTCCTCCTGCCTCCCCCCCTGCTTGCTTGCAAATCTTGTCCCCCACTCTCTGAGAGGCAGTGTGACCCTAGGTAGGAGGAAATAATGCTGCTGTCCTGATGCTTTGCGGTGCCTGGTTGCCACTGTTTTCCTTTTGGCAGTCCCCATGTTTGTCTGTTGTTAATTGTGCTCACAAAAGTGCAGTGAGAATGAAAATGAGCATTGCAACAGCATCCTTGCATATATGGCTAAGGGAAGGAGAAGCAGCAGAAAAGACCAACAACTAATTTAGGGGTCTTAAACCTGTGTGATGAAAGAAAGCTGTCTTCTTCTGTTAAAGGAAAGCAGCTGAAGTTACCTGCTCTTCTAGTGGAGATATTTGTTAAATTCTGGGACTCTGACAACCCTTTTTTTTTTTATGTTTACTGACTGACTTTGATCTCTCTGCTTTTGGGAAATACGGGAAAGTCCTGAAGCCCATGCCTTTCGATTACAGGCAGTACAGTTAATACAAGGGCAAGTGATGTAACCTGAGGCCAGCATGGTTAATTATTAAGATCAAATTCTGTGTGTATGTATCCTATGCAATGCTGCTGAAGCCAGAGACAAGCTGCAGAAGACGTGCAAAAAAGGGCTTTAATTTATATGAGCTTTTTAAAGAGCAGAGCCGCCAAGGGAGCTTTTTTTTTGTACTACTTGGTGTCCTACGGCTGAACTCTAACAACAGCTCTCTAGGGTCCCACCTTACTCTTTTACCAAGTTGCGTAACTGCTTGGTCCCAATGACATCTAGTGGAGCTGAGCATCCCAATGACATCTAGTGGAGCTGAGCATCTAAATGCCCTAAGAAAACTGATTTGGGAACTAGTTTCATTTCCAGAAGTAACTTAGGAATATCATTTTCTTTGAACTTCAAGGAAAATTTCCTCAGGCTTTAATAGTGTTGGAATTCACTCTGAGTGGCTTTATCTCACCAGCTCAGAGATGGATTGGAAGGCTGACAAGTCTGTGTTATTGACCTCCAATACTGCACGTGTTGGAAAGGCAATATCAATCTACTTGTGAAGTGGTTAACTAAAAAAATACAGATTTACATTGTGCTCAGGTAAACACATCCTTACATCTGCACATCACCTGTCTTTGAGATTGTACTAGACAAGTAGAACTACCCCCAGAGTTGCAATTCCTCTCTATATGTTGAAAAGGAATAAATTAGAATTGAGAATGGATAAACTGTGATCAACAGTTAAAACTATGCATAGGTACTACAAAAAGCTCACCAATGAATGTGAGTGCCTGTGTGTACACTGGTGTTTATTACCTCCAGTTTATGTGTCAACGTATGTTGTCCCCAGTGTGTACTGTTATATACTGCCTCCATTTCTATTGATAACAACTGGGTACCAGGAAAACAATCATTTTACTCTTTTTTTCCCCTTCTAATGAAAGCTGTCATCTCTCTGGACCGACTTATGCTGGAACTAACATTTGTACAAAGACTTTCAAGTGAAGTGAGTGCATATACAGATGTGCAAGATGTTAAGCAAGTATCACTCTTGCATGATTAGTGCCTTCTTCCTACTGCAATGTGTCTTAATTTAAGCATCAGCTTAAATTGATTTACAAGAGTGGGAAAATGAGTGACAACAGATTGAAAGAGCCTGATCATCAAGGCTAGTGACCAATGAAAATCTATCTGGGTTGGAAAGAAGATTTTTAAGGCATTTTTGGGTCATCTCATGGTATAAAGTAACATCAGAATTACCTTGCAGGACTTGAACCTTCCGTTATATCTCCTGCAGGTGTCTAAACCACAAATTCTTTCTTCGTCACACAGATTCATGTCAACATGCCATAGAAGTTGATCCTCACTTCATGTATTGGCAAGAGTATTTTAAATACATAACTGCAATGTTTTTAGAACAATTCCGGTGCAGACCATGAAAACCAAATTCAGTCCATTGGGCAGACACAGTTCTGTCCTTAAGATCAGTTTTGGCTGTGGTGAGAAAACAGAAAGTCAAAGCAACACATAGATGGCATTTCAGATGCATTTTGGTTACACTATCATAAAATTTCTGAGGCCCTCATTTGGTTTGCCTTTTGACAGACTCCTGTCCTCATTTTCCCTTACAATGAAATTGCTTGAGGTGTAAATGGGTTTCATTAGCCAGCTGCCACGTTGCTCCTGGCTGCTTTTCCTCTTGGTTCCCATCATGTAAGAGCTGGGCCAACTCCCTGTCTGTGTGAGGACCCAGGAGACACTGGAATGCTGTGGGAAACATCACAGTTGAACAGATGACAATCTTCCCTTTGGTGCATAAAACCAGTATTTCTACTACAGTTCCCACTAGGTGTTTCCCATAAAGGTAGAAAACATTTGGATAACCTTTGCAGCCTCTGGAAATAAAGCCAGATAGAAAAATCTGTTGCCAGTCTCTGACAGTGAATTCTCAGGTAAGCAGCAGCCTCACAGACAGCCTGAATAATCAGTAATTATCTACTTTACAAAAGAAGACAATTCCTTATTTTTCTGCTTCAGAAAATGTAGTCCCACCAAGAACTGTATGGCTTCAGGGCAGCTGGATTTGGTTGTTAATTTGTCTGCTACAAAGACTGTCTTTTCTAAGGACAGTATTTGGGAACTGAGATTCATTATACTCTGATTTATATTTTAAATTAAGCAATAGCTATCATAAAGACAGGCTTTGAGTGAAAATACAGAACTTCAAATGCATAAAGAAAAAATGAGTGGATGCCTTGAGTCAAGTTTTGGTCCACGACCTGTGTTTGTTGCAGTTGTCCAGTGGGGTCTTTGAAATACCAACCAGGGGCAATTTGCCCTAGGCCAGTAGTTGTTAGCACAACACCCCCACCTCCAACAAATAGGGTATTAATGTGACTTCCAAACATTTGTATTGGTTGTGCATCCAATTTACTGTCTTCAGGAAAATTAAGCTATTCTAGAAATCTTACCAGGCACTTACCTGCCATGTCAGGTACCCAGATAATTCTCAACATCTGGGCCCACTCCAGGACTCAGTTTCCTGTTTCTGAAGTGATGAAATAGCTCCTTCCTACTTTATAGGGCTTTTGTGAAAAGAAACACATGTAGTGAGAAATATCAAGGCATTCTGGTAATGAGAACCATGAAAATAATTAAAACAAACATTCGCATTGCTTGGGAATAGTAGAAATTGCCTTTGGAATTTGCAGAGAAAATCAGTACAAGAAAGAGAAAAAGCATAAATGAAAACATGTCTTGCCCCGAGTCTCTACTCACTGTGGAATTTAGGAAATATCTAAACATTTGCTCCAACATTTTTGCCTATTCTTTTTGCTTGTTTGTTGTTGTTGTTTTGGTTTTAAATCACTTTCCATACCCCTCTTGTGAATACCACATCTCCTGATGCTGCCTGGAAGGGTACAAGCAGAACTGAAGGGAAACATAGATCATGGTCCGCATCTGTGCACAGAGCTCATCTCCATCCTTCTGCTTAATCCTGAGTGTTAATGGAAAAAAAGCCCGAGGGAAGGTCTTTGCACTGCAGCTGAAGCCAAAGTACAGTAATGTTTGAAGTCATCCTTGGTTTTGATACATTTGAGAGGTGAAGCAAGGCAGAGATGATATTATTTTCATGTCCTTTTTGACTACTTTGCTCCCACATGGCTCCTAGTTTGAAAGAAGGGGTTTTTTTTTTTGTCTCTACCATCATAAATTAGAGCAGCCCCAAAGCTACTCTACTTCTGGCAGCAACAATTGCCTTGATTTCCACTTAAAGCAACTTTATACCCTCTTTCTGTTGCTGATGCTGTGCAAAAAGGAAACAGAGCAAAGCAAAACTGACTCCTACGGTGAATGTAAAACTTTGTTTGTTTGCTCTCTTTTCTTTCAGGAATCTATGTACATTGAAGAGTCCTCATATAAAAATGGTGTGATATCTTTGATTTTCTCTCTGAAAGAAGAAGTTGGAGCATTGGCTAAAGTTTTGCGCACATTTGAGGTAAGTATTTTCCTTCAGGAGATCTCAAATGTTTAAATTAAAACCTCTACCTTAACTGACGTGAGGATGGAAAAAAATGCATTTTCTCCATTTAAGAAGGAAATAGTCCATTGTAACTGCTTGAGTAAGAGTAGAAGTGAATTGGGCAATAATCTGAGATTGACATTTGTGTATGTGTATGTATATGTATATAAAGGCAAGTATAACCTGCATGTGAGCTGTGTGACCCATAGTGTACATGTTGCATGAAGTATTTCTATGGGAGCAGCTATTGTCCTCTTAGCGCTTTTCCATTTCAGTGAATCTGATCTAAATAAGCCCACCATCTCCCACCAGTGGTACTTCTATGGAGGCAGTACTGGGTACCTACAAAACAGCATCAAAACAACAGCACTTTTTTCACACCAAAAAGGGATGCAGCAACTTGCACTGCTTGACTGGGAAAGCTTTTGGAGAAACAAGGAGCCATTTACCTTTCAGAACATTGTGTGCCTTTTTATTATTGCAGAAATATTTTCCAGATGACATGGACGGTGTTTAAAAAGCACGAAATTCTTGCAATTCAGGTTGTGTTGCAACACAGAGCTGTGTACTCTATGCTCCCAAGCAAATACACTCTTCTATTGGTTTTGTGATTTCTTGATTTCTTTTTATTTCCTTTGAACATCATCATGTACTACTTGTGCCTGAAAACAGCTCTTTCTGTAGAACACTGTAAAAAGTTGTGGCCTGCATACTTTCCATTCGTAAACTGAACTGACTAGGAAATGAATGATTTGTGTGGTATTAGTACAAATGAAAACTAATTATAGGACATATTTAATTCATTAAAATGAAGGGAACACCAATGACAGCACAGCTAGTCTAAGTCCGTGAACTGACCACTGTAAAGCAGTCCTGCAAAATGTCTGTGTGTTGGTGGCGTGCATCTCTGTAAGTGAATTAAGGAGGCTGTTAATATTCTCTGGTTAAACACATTGCTGTCTACTAACCAAATTGCTGTTAGGTCTAAAGGAAAATATGCAGGAGAGCTAGTATAGGAAAGGAAGAAGTAGCTGCTTCTTGGATGCGACTTTTCCCACCCCAAAGCAGTACCTAAACTAGACCATCCGAGTCACAGTTTTCCCCAATGACACTGATGGCAACTGAGGGGAAGGGGCTCAGCCAGAGATGTTTGCCCTGGTGTCTGGGTGGTTTGCCACCCCAATGAAGCCAATTCTTTCCTTGCAAACTTGCAGTCTGCCCCACCACCAAGGCTTGAAAGGAGACCTGGCATAGGTGCTCTCATATCAGTTCTGCATGCTGTTTACAGTGTAGTAGGGAGATAGGTAGGTGGCTGGAAGAAAAGGATTTAATAGTACAAGCCTGACCTGCAGTTTCAGCTCCTCAGGGCTGTCATCAGTGAATTCATGAGTGTTGGGGTGTATAAACCACAGCAGCCATTAGGCTGCTCTTGCTCAGTGCAAAAGACCTCACCCGGTGCACAGTGGTGTAAGATTCATGAGCATGCAGGGCCAAAAGAACCTCCACTCTTTCCCACGTGGTCCATAACCATGGAGCCTCAGAGACACAGACTTTGCACTCAGTGTCATCCACAGCAGAGAGAGGGAAGGTGGTGACACTCAGGTCACCACGCAGGTGAAGCGTGGGAGCAAGGAGGGAGACATCAAAAGGGTTTTTTCTCTTGCACCCTTTCCCTGCTTAATAAAGTCAGCAGTGTGATGCAGATTAGCTACAGGAGTTAGTTCAGACTCTCTGTGGGTGGGCTTCTCCAGGCAAGGACACCCCTTGCCTTGTCCCCAGGGATTCTGTTGCCAGCTTGATGCTGGCCTGTGGAAATGCAGCGGCTTTGTCTCAGAAGGGCGGCAAAGGAAGATGTGGGCACAGCTGCTCAGGCAGTCATTGCTTCACACAACCACATAAAGTAGGAAAAAGCATAACACAGAAGCCGCAAAATAGGATCAGGCTGTTCCCTGGAGCAGACATGGCACTGTAGCCATCGACCCCCAGGAAGGAAGGAAGAGACCTTGCATGGCCACTGGTGCTGATGGCCATATGTGGTGTGTTTGGAGCCCCTCTGATCCTTGCTGAGGCTGCTGGGTTCTCTGTGGGCACTTGCGTGTGGGAATGCAGAGAACACAGACAAAGAGCTCAACCCTGTCCTCCCCCCAGTTCATCCTTGTGAGCAATTAAGGGACCTCAGGCACTGGCTTTGAGGATTTTGCCTTTTCTGTAGCTGATCTACAAAACTACTCTGGGACATGAGGGGGGGAGAAGGAGGGTTACGAGAGCTGTAAATATGAAAGTCTTGAAAATAAATCCTCTCTCAAGACAGGGAACGGAGTCTGGAAGCAAGATCCAGATTAAAACAGAGAACTGAGGGGATTCCGAAAGAACGGATAGATCTTGTGGTACCATCAGCAGCCAGGATGCCTTTCTGTAAAGGAGGTGTCTGTGTGGACCCAGGGAGGTTCATCTTCTCTTTGGTTTAAGAGCTGAAGAAAAAAATTCTGTTGCTCTGAGACAGCTGTTCAATCACTCTTACGTCCCTGCCCAAGGTTCACAAGCAGGTCCTCCCTCCCACGTTCTCCTGCTGTCCACGTCCTACTTCTGTGCTGGGGTGAAACTTGGCCAGACATTAGCCCCCATCACAGCTTGATCTCCGCGGGAAGCAGAAGCCAAAAGGATCTGTGCTGTGCTGCAGCCTGGACTTGCAGCTCATCAAGCACAAGGGAATTACAATGTATTTTGTTTGTCCTGCTCAAACATCCCTTCCAGGTTGCACATGAAGTTGACGGAGCTTCATGCTCTCATGTTTGCTTTTTTGCTCAAAGACCCAGACTCCTTTTTTTCTGTTCAGGTCTCAGCTGCAGGCAGGTATGTGGGTACAGTGACAACTGTTGTTTTTCCTATGTAGCTTGAAGGCTTCTTTTTCCTGAAGAATCTCCTCTAGGTACTCAGCTCCTTACGTCTACTAGCATTATGTTCAAAATGCACTTGAGTATATCAACTTTTTTCTTACTTTCACTCTTGATTCATATTCTCTCTAATGCATTTCAGTGTTGGACCAATGCACAATGTCCAAAAAGAGCAAGCAGTCTGCATGGAAGAAGGGTTGTAGCTTCTAGGACAGGCACATGTTTAAAGAAAGACTTTTTAAGTTGAATATATGTCTCTTTAAGCTGAAAGCATTTCTACCTCTGAAAACAAACCCAGATGATGCCTATGGAAGGGTTCAGCATCCTCTTAGAGTGGGAGGAGAGTCCTTTCCCAGTCTCACACATGACAATAAGCGGTACTAAGGAAGATCCCTCAAACACCAGACCTGAGCAGGCTCCTAAACTCTTCTGACCACTGGCTCTTGTCCACCCTCTATTTTGCAAATCCTTGCCTGTCTGTGTGAATCTTCTCCTCCTGGACCTCTCTGTACTCAGGGTGCCCTATGCCACTGTTGTAAGCACAATCACTGCAGTCCCTTCACCTTCCCTGCAGAGAGGCAGTGCCCACAAGGTCAGACTTGCACTCTGACATGCGCTGTAGTGCAACAGCAGCTCTGTCATGCCCAGGAATAAGCAGATTGTTAAAACTGAATCTACTTTGCTTCCAGACTAGGTGTTCTGTGTGTATATTAAGATGTGGTAAAGATTCACTTTCTGCTTATCAAACCCAATTATTTTTGCAGTTGAAAAGCCTACTTGTCCATATTCTTTATCTGTCTTAGTGTGCATACAGCTGCCTTACAGTTTCTGCTTGGGCAACAGCCCTGACCTCATTGCAGGCTTGAGGGTGGCTGTAGAGACAGCATAAACCCACCAGCAGAGTCTTTACACCAACTTCATTTTAATAGGACCTGCTCTGCACTGAGGCACTGCTTGGTGCAGCCATATGCTGTTTATTTGTCTTGTGCTATTATAGAAGATGCTATGTAGGAAACCAAAACACGAATAAATACCTTAGTCTGAAATAGAACATCACACATAGTTAAAATACCACGCCTAAAATCAGGAATACAGAATAGTCATTGTGGAATTATGTTTCTTTTTTGATTCACTCTTTGGGGGGGACACATCAAAGAGTTACAGAGTATCAGTCCAGGTCAGAAAAAAGACAGGAATCTTCCAGGTTTCTTGTCAAAACTGAAAACGTAAAGCAGATCACTCTGGGCTAACCCAAGTGTTACATTTAATGGGAATGTTTATTTTCCTCTGTAGTGATAAAAGCCTATTGAAATTGAGAACACTTTTTAAAACATCAACAATAATAAAGTCCATTTTGCAGGAAAAAAAAGTGAAAAAAAAGAAAAACTTTGCCTTCCCAAGGTTTGCATTTCCAAAGTTAAGTTAATCATTAAAAATATCAGAACTATACACTTCAATATGTAAAAGGATAGCCCTCAGTTCTGATTGAATTTTTTCCACATGGATTTTTTAATAAATCAATCTTCTCCTTAGTTCTTTTCCTGAGCTACTTACAAGTAGTAGAAGACATGTCAGCTGTAGCATGTGGAAAACATTGGGTTGGTATGCGTTACAAGTTTGCCCAACCAATTCTCTGAGAGGACCCTTCCATCTTCACTGAAATGACCTTCCCAAATACAGAGCAAAACTTCAGTACAAGGTCCAGCAGTCAGTGATTTTCTTACAGTGGGTAGGACTCTAGCTCAAAAGCAGCCCCATCAGTTTGCACTGAGTTGTACTCTTGCTCCCAAAGTTAATGCTCAGTGGAAGGAAGCTACTGTTCTACAGGAGGACTGGGTGGGAGTAACAGGCTGGACTAAATGAGACCCCGCACTTTCAGAGCCAGCAAAGGTGACTGTGCTCTTCTTCTGTTTAGGAGCAAAATTCATTCAACAGAAAGGCTGAAGTGACTCTTATATTTTTGCCCCTTGGGAAAGAATTGGCTCTGCAGTGTTTTGGGTTATTTCCAAATTGGGAGAAGTGAGCAGTTGCTTTGGCCGGGGGGTGTGTAGGCAGTGTCTGCAGTGATAGGTGAACAGGCCA